TCCCAGCGTGATGTGGCACGATACATAGCCAAGTGTTTGGACACATGGAACAAAATAATTAAAAAAAATAAAAATATAAAAAGAAAATGTTAAAAAATCCATGTGGAAAAACAAAAAAAAAAAAAGAAAAGGGGAAATCTCATCCCCATCAGAAAGCACATAGACGGACGAAGGTTGCAAGAGCAGATTCGGTGCATCAATTCCTTGCCAATGGCTCGCTTCGAAAGAAAGAACATAGGACCTGATCTCTTCGAAGGAGATTGTTAATACGATATACTGGGATTTGGCCCAACTTCTAGTCCACCGGGGCAGTTCTCTTATGGGCTCGCCTAGGAATCGAACCCCAAGCTTGCCGGAAAATCACCTCCGACCAAAGCTCGAACTCGGTCCGTCGGGGAATTCGAATACGATTCGATTTCACCGAAGTTTCAGAAAAATTGGGAGTCCTCCAGAGAATATCAAATCCCAAAATTGGGAGTCTCCGGTAGGTCTCCGAAGAACGCGATCTTGTATATCGCCGCAGTCGAGTCTTTCATCTCAGGCCAGGGCCTGGATCCGGTGCCCATTTCAACGACCCTGCAGCCAAAAAAATTTTCTTTTCTTTTTGTGTAATCCCTAATCCCGCCGGGTCCTTCAATCCCAAATCCCTTTATCCATTTTTTTTTCTTTTTGTTTTTGTTTAATGATTTTAATCCATGTGTCTTCACATGTGGATTTTTGTAACATTTTTTATTTTTTTTTAATATTTTTTAATATTATTTTGTTCCACGTGTCCAAACACTTGGGCCCATCTCATGCCACATCACACCGGGAATAAAAAATGAGATCTGACTAGGCGCCACGTAAGCTTTTCCGGCAAAATGAGCACCGGAATGTCGATTTGGACTAAAATTACCCAAAAAAAAATGTTAGTGTACCAAAAGTAAAAAATAAACAATTAAAGGACGAAAGTGCAACTAGGCTATAGTTAGTGGACGAATAGTGCAATTTTTCCCACAAATTTATGGAAGATAATAAAAATTATGGTAATGAAAGAGATATTTATAGGATGCAAATGTAAGATGAAATAATTATTTATGGTTGACTCCAAGTTGATTATGTTTCCAAATTTTTTATTCGAACGTAAATACGAAGCATAATAATTTGATACGTATGATTTCAAAGCTTGCGAGTCTGTCACTTCGGCTCAGCTCATTTTGAATTAATATATAGAGGTGGATTTATGGTTGATTCCAAGTTGATTATGTTTCCAAATTTTTTATCCGAACCTAAATACAAAGCATAATAATTTGACACGTATGATTTCAAAGCGTGCGAGCCTGCCACTTGCATCAGCACGTTTAAATTAATATACAAAAATACTTTTTCCCCCATCAAGTTCTCACCATATGGACTGCTCTCTGACGTGTCAACCTACGTCATTAATATTGCGCATAACTGGAAAAAGGCAATTTTACATTATATCTTTCTCCACTTTTCCTGTTCTAATTACCCAAATCGTTCAATTCTTTTTGACCTATACTTTTTCTTCTTCTGTTTTTATTTTCCGTAGCCGCAGGCCCGCAACATTAAGTATTTAGAAGAGAAAATATACATCGAAGCTGTCCGACTCCGATGCTCCTCATAAAGCACTCTTTCTTTCACAAATTTTTAGGGTTTTCAAAAGTTATTAAAATTGAGTTCTTTCTTCTTTTGTTGCTGCAAAATAAAATTGGTTCCAAAATAAAGAATCACAAATCATAGGGTCTTCTTGTGTTCGTTTTTTTTTTTTATTATTTATTTACTTATTCTTTTTTGTGTATAAATTGAGATTGAGGGCTCAAACACGAACTCGAGTCGAGTATATTTTGCACTCGAGATATATGTTGACTTACTAAAATACCCCTTATATATATTACAATAGTATACAATATGTGCTTAATGGTGATTTCGAGCTCGAGCATTTTGATTTCAAGTCGAGCGATCGTATTTTTTTAATCGAGTCGAGCTCGAGTAGCTAAAAAAACTAATCATGCTCGATAAGGTCAATGCTCGACTCGACTCGACTCGGCTCGGTTCGTTTGCAGCACTAGTGTTGCCATCCGAGCTGAGATGGGTAGGCCCAGGATTAAATACGACCGCTTAATGAAGAAAGAGTCGAGTTGAGTACTTGGGTAGGAGGATTGAAAGTGAAAATTGAAATCGGGAATCAAAGCAGTCGGGAAATTAAATGGGAAACGAACAGGATACCCAGGTCGGATGATCTTAAGAATGAAGCCAACCTGAAAATTACATAAATCAACCGAACTGAGCTCAAGACTTAGGCGAAATAAGCCAAGAAGACTCGATCCAAGTGCACTATGGTGGCAGAAATTAATAAAATAATGACAACTTGCAACCAAATGATGACAAGTGGGACATGCCCACCAAAAGCCTACCAACCTACGTGGCATAGCCTCATATATAGGGTCATCTGCCACCCGTTAAATGTGTGTCACTTCTATTTAATATCTGATTGTTTCAATTGTTTTTATTATAAACACGATTTCTCTTTTTGATGTTTTTCTGGTTTTGATCATGACATATTGTTAGTTTGTGTTGCATTAAGCTGCATCTATGCGTGTCTTTAGTGCATGATTAAGCTATGGATATTGGGCTACAATTATATTAAAAAATAAATGGTTGCTATAGCTCTTTCCATTTTTCTTTTTTGAAAGAATAATCAAATAGACTACATTCTGGCTGACTTGATATATTATTGATGTAGGAAAGCGTACGAGTGGGAAAGATAAACGAGATACTCTCTCGATAAATCTCACAAGAGTCAATCAATTCTTATTATCAAATTCACCTCAAATAACAAAGAAGAAGGAGTCTTTAAATAAGACTCCTAAAGCCCTAATAAACCTAACTTGTTCTCCAATCTACTAAATAATAATAATAATTATTATATTTATTCTGCATCATTCTCCCCCGGTTGAGCAGGATTCGCCCTCAAATCTGACTCGTTCCCGTTGGAGACGTCTCATGATAGGAATAGCTCAACGTTTCCCCAGATCGAACACGAAGGTTGAAGGTCGGCCAACAGCTGAATTAACACAAAACATACAATAGCATTCGCTACGGTCAAATCCATAACTACGGCCAAGCATCCCGTTGTTGGAAGACTTTGCGATAGACAATCGAAAAATGGCCCACCAGTTATTGAGCCTCGACTTCATCCCAAAAATCATCGTTGGCCAAGATACTTCAAACATCGGGTTTCAACGACGGCATCCCCGTCAAAGGCTCAACTTCTGCGACGTCTCACGCGGGACCCATATAGCCGCAAAAATATGTCTCCGTCAATGGAGGCTCCTCATGGAAAATAGGCGGACCGTCTTACAATAGCTCGTCATCTTCTTAAAATATCGCACTCTGTTGCCGCACATCTTGATCGTCGTGCGCAACAACGAGCTTAGTCTCGACGAGCGGAGGCGGCCACTTTTCAAAAGGATCCACCTCTGAGATGGTCTCCTCGTCGTCTGCGTCGCCGGGTGGCGGTTGTGGAGATCGCCTACGGGGCGCCCCGCCTGGAACACGACCTCTACTTCCTCTGTGAACTCCCCCGCGCACACCCCGGTCGCCGGCTGCACGGTTCATCTGCAAATCCCAAACCACGTTGTTAAGCGTCAAATGCAAATCCTCGATCCCTGTCGAAAGATCTGCAAACCAATCCGTGAAACGCACATCCAACTGTTCAAATCGGTAGTCGATCTGTTGAAACCGATCGTTGAAGGTTGCACCACGTTGTTTGTTTACGGCATCTTGTCGTCCCAGCGACATCGCGAATCGTACTGACTGCTGATACCAACTGATGTAGAGAAGCGTACGAGTGGAAAAGATAAACGAAATACTCTCTCGATAAAACTCACAAGAGTCAATCAATTCTTATTATCAAATTCACCGCAAATAACAAAGAAGAAGGAGTCTTGAAATAAGACTCCTAAAGCCCTAAACCTAACTTGTTCTCCAATCTACTAAATAATAATAATAATTATATTTATTCTGCATCAATTATTAAGATCTTGTTTATGCTGATTTTAGTAATATTTGAAATAAAATATTTAAGCATCATTTAGTATTTTGGTATTTTCTTGTCATGATATATTATTTCTAATTAAGTTAAGTGTAACTAGACTCAAATACCCTTATACAATGACGGATCTAGGAAAAAATCTTATTGGGGACAAATTAACATTGTCAAGTATTGAAATCATGATTTTTTTTTAAAAAAAAATAGAATAAAATATGCTAGTGAAAATTATCCTCGTATTAAATAAATAATTTTCTCATACATTCTTATTGATTTAATAAGTTAATTGGAGAACAAGGTTTTGTAAACACATATTTCTAAGTATGATATAAAAGTAAAATTATAAATTTTCAAATGATTTATCTGTTCTTTAATTTTTATTTTTCTTTCAAAAAAGTCACTTTTTAATCAACATATATAATCCCTTTTACAAATAAAGCTTTTTTTTTTTCCTACTATAGGCCAACTAGTGAGCTTTTTGTATTCTTAAACATGAAATATTAATATCTTTTACAGCCCAATTCATATTAATAATCCTAGCAAAGTAAGTCACCTAATTAATTATGATTTTTATAATTTTAGAACAATGAAATTAATAAATAATAATAAAATACTCAGGGTGGGCTACTCCAGTGGAGGGCACGTTCCCCCAGTGCTTCTACTCTAGATCCGCAAGTGCCCTTATATATACTTATATATACAGTTGAATTTAAATGACAGACTTGTACGCTTCACTATCAGCCTCGGATATAAATAAATTTATTCACCTTAGTTATTTTTAAACTGATTGATGATATTATTATGACTAGTATTATATCAACATGATCATTATTTTAACTAATAGGTATGACATGTACTTTTAAGTTTTATCAATTTTGCATTTTTGACATAAAAAAACAAACGGTTTGAGTCAACTTTGCATTAAGAGAGAGAGAGAGCTAAGCAACAAAACATGAAAGTGAGTCAACTTAGCAAACCCAATACCAAAATTTGACTATCAGATCGCGCGCATACACACACATACCCATGCGGGTGTGTCTTGATCTGACGGTTTGGAACTGAGGTTCACCCAATAATATATGTATTAACACATCCTAAATATTCAAATATTCACAAAAAATTATCAAACTTAGACATTTTAAGTTTAACAACACACATAAATAATGTATCCACACACACAACACCTTACACCTCATGGGTAGAGCCCCTGTCAATAACTATTTGCAACGTTTTTAATTATGTATTTATAATAATAAAAAGTGATTCTAAGAGCTTCTTGCCAAAAATATGAAAATTAATATGGCTGAAAATTGAGAATCACCTCTCTTCAATACAATCTTAGCTAAGGTTCAAGATGAGTTCAACATTTATCCCCCATCAGTCGATCCTTATCAGCCCGAACAAAACCGCAATCACGGACAATACAGCCTAAACAAGATAGACATACCCAATTTTTATTGGATAATTAGAGAAATGAAAATGGAAAAACATGTTCCGAAAAATGGATATAAAGCATTTGAATCTAATAGTGTGGGCCTTTGTAAATTTTTCCTTTAGTTTGGGGAGCAGAGTGGACAGACATAATAAGAACCAAATCCTTTATGAGGGTCTTTACAGTGCTATAAGATAATAATGGGGATATTCTGCAATTAGGCTAGAGTTTAAGGACAGAGTTTGTAATTTTTTTTCAGCAAAATTTCTACTAAAATGTTCAATAATTCCTTGAGGTGAAAGAAAAATATGACTAAGCGTGCACGGTGTCCCGGATAATCCTCAAACAAAGATTGTAAAGGAAAATGTTTTGAAATTTGAGTGAACCAATTTAAGGCCTTTACTCTCTCTCTTTTTTTTTTTTTTATCAATAAGCCCTCTACTCTCTTTTTTTTAATCAATAAGCCCTTTACTACATTGGAAGAAACAGAAAGAATGCTTACAGCAATTACGCAAGCAACATATCCCGGTTTCTCACGAGGGTCGATTCTTGAACATAAGAGAAGCAATGCTGCAACATACCATGGGATTGCAGCCAGGAAGAATCCAATAATAAACCTTCAACAGAAGTACAAGAGAATAATATTTTTTAGCAGCTCATTTGATCTCATACTTATTTAATACATCACATAATTCATGTGATCATAATTAGTTTGTTATCTATCCTAATCATGAAAAACGAAATGCAAGAATAATAATAATTAATAACGACGCTGTTCAGTAAACGCTTCAGAGGAAAAGCATAAATGCAATTTTAGTTCTGAAGAAATAATTAGCTCATCGATATGATTAAAAAAAAAAAAGTTCTGTTTCTGTGAGTATGAAGCTTACAAGAACCAGCCGAGGCCAATGCCACAGCAAGGAAGGCGATGTTCTCTTACAGGTCTTCCTTCTGCAACACCATAAACTGCACCGATTTTTATTTAGGAAAACCGAAAAAACCCACTGTGAATTGCAAGATTTATAGATAAAGCGCTTAAAAAGAAATTAATTAACTCGTCTTGGGATCAGAATAGATTTTGTACATTGAAATGACCCCACAAAACCGGTGAATTTCACACACCTAGTGCCAATGGGGGTTTTATCCATCGGATCAACACACACCTGCACGTATGTGTGTGAGAGTGCGTGTGATCAGACTGTTAAAAAAATAACTATTTCATCTTTTTATCGGAAAGAATCGCGTAAGCTCCAAATTTTGATAATTTTTTCCCTAAGATCAATCTCAAGATCAACAACTAGGTTCTTTCTCCTCTGTCCCATCAAAAACATAATTCCTGTTGAGATCTGAAAATAGCTATACACTCGATCCAATTCTTGGTCCAAACTTGGCCACAAACAGCTGCTGATCAAGACAACATAAAAAATACCAAAATATTAACAGCCCATGTATCTCAACAAAAATAAAAGAAATTCAACTCACAGCTCAATTTGTTTTTATTTTTCTCTTTTGACAAATTCCTCAAAATTGACGCTCAAATAATCAAAGATCTGAGTAGATTACGCGCAAAGGTGGAACCTTTTTCAATTGCGTTNAAAAAAAAAAAAAAGGGCGAATAGGAATACCAGGGACAGCTTGGTAGCCGTGAACATAATACTGAGACGGTGGCGGGGCGCCGGAAACTCCAGGCGGCGGGACAGGCTGGGGAAAGCCAATCGCAGTCCTCGGCGGGTGGTTGGCGACGCCCTGGAATGTCCCGTATGGCGGCGGCGGCGGAGGAGGTGGCTGCTCGTGGTGGTGATGATGGGCCTCCCTTTTATCCTCGCTCATGATTGATCCTTTCTCTCTCTCTCTCTCACACCTTGCTTTTTCTTGCAATTTAACGCAAAGAAAAAAGATGTACGAGCTTTTGAGCGAAGATTATCACGGGCAGATGAGAAAAAAGGTCGACGATTTTTCTCTGTTGCTTCAATAAATACCTGAAATAGAAAGTTGAAACGAAAGGCAAGAGTTGTTGATCCATGCCAATAGTAAATGAAAGATTATACATAACAAAAACCAATCTAGTGTACAACTAAGTTGACAATACAAATGAAAACATCTATTTGTGTATTTTTTATTTTTTATTTTTGTGAATGTTTTTTAATTATGTTGTCAACCTAGTTGTACACTAGGTTGACAATGTAGCATTTCTCATAGTAAATAACCGGCTAACTCGTTAAAACTCGAGCTCGATTAAACTGATTTATCAAGCTCGTTTAAATCTAAACAAGATTATCTTTTATAATATTTTATGGTTTAGCTCGTTAATATTGATAAATAAGTCGAATTTGATTACTAGCTCAAGCTCGAGCATCATGAACTCGAGCTCCACTTGATCGACTCGGTTACACCCTTATTAATAACACGAATGATTTGTGTGGCTTGGTTTAATGATTGCGGATCGACTCGTCATAGTTTTTTTAAAAAAAAATATATATAATTGTATTATGAATTTAAATATGCATATTTATATTATAAATGTAATACTGTTATTTATATTATTTTTAAAAGTATAATATTTTTTGTTTGAAATACTTATATATGATAGAAAATGAATGTCTAACTATTAGGTATGGGACAAAAATATTACTAGCTTAATAAAGGTGTAATAGACTAATGTCTAATGGTGATTAACTCTCCCTCTCTCAACTTTAAAGCACTTTTTAGAACCAAGTTTTACTCAGAACCGCCTTGTCGAACATGATCATTCTCAACAGTTGAATCGGATCAAAGAACAGGATCAATCTGAAGAGTTGAACCGGATCAAACATAAATTATGGAAGGGCGTGACGTAGATATTCCGATACTTAAATCAAAAGTTATATATTTATTTTATTGTATTTGAGAGAGAATATTTTTCCTCATTATATTATACTAATTTATTTTGATTCTCTTTTTCAGTAAGAATTGGTTGAAATTCGGTTGTAATGTTTTCAAGAACAAGATTTAATTCAATATAGTTGAGTAAAATCTCATTTAACTCAGAAAATATGATCTCATTTAACTCAGAAAATATGAAACAACATCAATGTTATAACATTACATAAAACAACATCAATGTTATAACGAGTATTTTAGCTTTTTTTTTTCCCCCTTTTGTCCTGAATTAAGCAAATGCACAGGGAAGTTGAAAATAGGTCTTGAGACAATGAAGATAGATTTATTTTTTCAATTAATCTTAGTATACAGTTTTGTTATAGAGCCATCGAGTGACTCGATTTATAGAGTTATCCACACTTATTCATAAATAGTGTATTGACACGTGTCCTACAATAAATACACTTTGGACAGCTGTCATGAAGTGATGGATGACTGCATAAGAAAACCACTCAATGACTCCATAAAATTCTTAGTACATAATTTAATGTTTCATGCTAAAAAAAGTGGACAAATGAAAATCGAGAAAAATGTCTTAATCAACACAAATTATTGATAGTTTTTTTTATGGGGCACACAGCTTTTGCTGCAAAATAAATGAGGGTCCAACTAAAAACTCCAGCAACTTTACTATGGGAATTAGACTTTCTAACAAAAAAAAAAAAAATCAGGGATTTTTCTGTGGAGCACTGATTGAGATAAGGATGTTTAGATTCTTCAATCTAATTATTTGTTTTCCTCTTTATTATTATTATTATTATTATTATTATTATTATTATTATTGGGATTCTTGTCTTGTTGGACAAGTTAGTATTGTTAGGATTTTTGTCTTGTTGGACAAGTTAGTATTAGAGTTTTAGGAGCCTTATTTAAAGGACTCCTCTTCTTTTGTGTTATTCAGTTGATTTTGAAATGAAATAAGATATTGTGAGTTTTGTGTGTTTTGCGAGAGAGTATCTCGTTTATCTTTCCCACTCGTACGTTTTCCTACATCAGTTGGTATCCAGAGTTCACCTACGATCCACGATGTCGCCCAAAAGGACAACACGGCTGACGATAGACGGGATGCGGCAATTGAAGCCCTCACGCGACAAGACGAGGGTTCCGGGCGGCAATTTCAGTCGATGGGCCGTGATATGGCGGACCTAACGGCAGGCATGGAGGATATTCGCGAGGCTCTTCAAATGTTGATGCGACGCGAGCAAACGAACCGCGGCGGGCCCCATCATCGGGACGGCGGTCGCGGAGGGTTTCGCGGTGGTCGTGGGGTTCGCGGTCAGGCATGATTGGGTGGCGGACGGAGGGCGCCATGCGAGGAGGAGGGCGGCGATTCGGAAGCCACGGAGGAGGAGTTCAATCCGTTTGGTGAGGAGCATACGCCGGCAGTGGAGGAGGCGTACGGTGATCGACGTTGGGAAGTGTCCTTTCGCGTGGATATACCGGAGTTTACTGGTGGCCTGGATGCGGCAGCATTCCTCGACTGGCTCACGGCGGTCGAGTGGGTCCTAGAGTTCAAGGAAGTGTCGGACGAGCGGAGGGTCGGGCTTGTCGCAACACGCTTGAGGGATCACGTCGCCGTCTGGTGGCAGCATCTGAAGGATTCTCGGCGTCGGCTCGAGAAGCCGAAGATCTCGTCGTGGTTGAAATTTCGAAAGTATATCGAACGTGAGTTTCTTTTTTTCAATTTTGTTCGTACTATGTACCAGCAATTACAAAATTTGCGTCAAGGGACTCGCATGGTTGATGAATACACGGACGATTTTTATCGTCTTCTTACTCGGGTTGATATTCGTGAGACGAACGACCAATTAGTGTCCCGTTATATTGGAGGGTTGCGTTTGGCGATTCGAGATACCCTAAATTTATTTGTGCCGGATACAATCTCTGAAGCTCACCAGCGCGCTCTACTTGTGGAGCAACAGTTGGGTCGACGATCGAGTTCGGCCTTCTCACAGACGCCACGAACGGTTTCTTCGCAGGTTCCAGTAGAGGGCCAAGACGGCCAGGTGGCCTCTGCGCGCCAGCAGCATATTCACAGCGTCGGACCGGGCTTGGGCGGTTCGGTGGGCTCTTCCTCAACTGCAGCGGCTGGAACCCGTCAGGGCGGCGGTCTACGGTGCTTTGCGTGTGGGGGAGACGGGGCACAGACAATATCTTATTTCATTTCAAAATAATTGAATAACACAAAAGAAGAGGAGCCCTTTAAATAAAGCTCCTAAAACTCTAATACTAACTTGTTCAACAAGACAAGAATCCCACTAATAACAATAACAACAATAATAATAATAATACTAACTTGTCCAACAAGACAAGAATCCCACTAATAACAATAATAATAATAATAATAATAATAATAATAATAATAATAATAATAATAATAATAACAATAATAACAATAATAATAATAAAGAGAGAAACAAATAATTAGATTGAAAATTCTAAACATCCTTATCACCATCATTCTCCCCCTGTCGAAAAGGATTCGCCCTCGAATCCGAAGCAATCTCGTCTTCAACTGCTCCACAATCCCGACCAGGCCAATTGACGGGCCATGAACTTAGTATACTCACAAGCAAAAAATCTATGACAGCAACTCTCCATTTTGTCCTTTTTGGGCACACTATGCGAGTTATTAGTCACATATGCTTGTTGAATAAAAGAACATGAAAATTCATCTCCCAATTCACTGAAAACATCCATTCTAGGCACAACCTCTGGCCCCAAAAATGATTCTACAACCACATGATACTCATCCTCCATCAACGCCACAGGTGGCTCCTCATAAAAAACGGGTGGACCCTCATAATTGGTTGACCCCTCGATATGAAAAATAGGTGGACCCGTATATTCGGTCGACCCCTCGTCATCAAAACGAGGCGGACTCTCATTTTCGGTCGACCCTCGTGTGTCAACAAAGGCCCCTGAAAATTCGAGGATTTCGACTTGCAACAATGACTTCCAACGTCGATCGTCGTCTTGCTGCGCCTGTCGGAAGCCGAAGGGGTTGACCTCCGACAACGTTTCTTCGCTGTCGTCCTCGCCGTGCATCGGTGGTTGCGTACGCTGACGGGGCACCCCGCCAGGCCCTCTTCCGCCACGACTTCCGCGATAACCCCCGCGACCGCCCCGACCGGTCAAGTCGCGGTTCGCTTGCAATTCCAAAACAATCACGTTGTTAAGTGTCAAATGCAAATCCACGATCCCCGTCGAAAGATCGGCAAACCAATCCGTGAAACGCAAGTCCAATTGTTGAAATCGGTAGTCGATCTGTTGAAATTGATCGTTGAAGGTTGCGTCACGTCGTTCGTCTGCGGCATCTTGTCGTCCCGGCGACATCGCGAATCGTACTGACTCTGTTGATACCAACTGATGTAGCGCAGTCTTAAACAAGAGGGAGAAGAAGATAAAATTCTTCAACAGATATATTTTTATTCCAATCACTCTGATCGGCTAAAGCAACGACGAAGAGATTAAATAGAGTCATAATCCTATTAATTCCCTAACTTGCTAGACAAGTCTGTATTTCATAAAAGATAATATTCTTCTAACAACTAAATAACTTAATAATAATAATAATAATAATAATAATAATAATAATAATAATAATAATAATAATAATAATAATAAAGATGCTATTTAAACAAAAGCCGAAATCCGATCGTATTTCTCCAAGAAAGCTATCGCGAACTCGTCTTCATCAAGGACTGACTGGCACTGCATGCTAACATGGTACTGATCTTCAATTTTAATAAAAAACAAAGAGATCATTTTCTCATTAATGAATTTCATTTTCATGGTGAAACAGTTACTCTCCAAAAATCCACCAGCTAAGTTGTAACGAACTAGGCCATAATTCAATTCGTTATGAAAATCACAAGACCTTAGAGTAAACGAGCCCCCTAACATCGGTTGTTTCGAAAGATATAGCGTCAACAACAATCAATCAGTTCTTATTTATAGTCTTTTGCAATCTTGCGGATATTTTGAAGCAAAGGGAACTATTTGACATATTCACCGCAACATAATTAACTCAAGTAGTTCACTAACAAGAGAACTTCTCTTGGTAAAACCAGTCACAAGTTTGATGATCCCAACAATAGGAAATAGCATATGATTGTCGATATAATACAGTGGGGAAAGGACCTAAACAAACAAACAAACAGGCTGTCCATGCAAGGACTTGGTTACACAGCATCAACGTGCTTCATATTGAACAACTGCAGAAAACAAATTGAAAATGACAGTATACAGCTGTTAGAATATATGTTAACAGTCATATAAAACTTACCAAGCCAATATTATTCTTTGAATTACTAAACATGAAATCCACCATAGGTATAATTTTTCCATCGTGATTATATGCAGGGAGAAGAAGGTATGTACCGTATGTTGCTATGGCGATAGGAGCAATTTGTGCTCTTTAGACATTCAATAATATTTAAGTGATGGTAGCAAGAATTTTACATAATTCTCAAGTGTTCTGTGCAATTACGTAAGAAAAACAACAGAGATTATCTCATCCACCGTGTTGAATCTCACTTAAACTACAATGCAATAGCTTTTCTATTTTCTCATTCTGAACCCCTCTGAGCAAACAAAAGTGATGATCAAAAGTGAAAACCAAATTATGAAATAATATCCAAGTATCAAAACTGATGCAAATAATAAAAGCACAAAAGTATACAACGAAACCAGCGTGCCCATAATGTTGAAAATCAACTAGAAGAGAAATATATAGACCAACAGCACGAGCACAAATCAACTCAGTTCAGATCACAGGCTAAAAAAATGTAAACTTGCTAACTGATGATCCCATATATCAAGATTCACACACATCAAGTAAAAAAAATGTAATGTGACCAAACAAATTGGCCAAAAACAGCAAGCTTGCAAATTAATCAACATTCATAGACAAAAAAATATCAAGTGACATGGAAAAGCCTGTGTAAACCAACGAAAATATAACAGATTGTTGGGGAATTATAAATAAAGAAAAAAGGAGAAAAAGTCGTGAAATAATTACTCCGGCGGGTACGTTTCTTGTAGAGAATGCGATAGCCGCATTCACGGCACTGAATCACATCCCCTTGCTTCAGAGTGTTCTCTTGGCCGCAATCTACAGTGAAAAAAGGAGAAAGCTTTCTGCTTTAACAAAATAGCACACACAAACACGCACAAGGCAATTACAAAAAAAAAGAAGCTTCAATCAGGCATAAGCTCCAAAACAACATAACAGCACAAGCAAACACGCACATGGCAATTGAAAACAGACATGATTTTTTCTCTCTCCAGACATGTATGAAGCAGATGAATTGAAATCGTTTGTTTTTGCATTCAACTGATACGTTTTCATAATTGCGTACCTCCACAGATGTAGCTGACTGGCTCCGGCTGAGGATCCATTGATGACCGACAGGTGATGCAGAGAGTGCGGTAATTATTAGGGGTTTAAATTCGTCTGTCCAAGAGGCTAGGGTTTTTGCCTTCTGCCTAAATCGAACATGATTGACCCCTTTTTTATATGTACTCCTTGCCCAAGTCAAAGATGAGCTTTGTCGACTAATTGAGACTCGAGCTATAGTCTGTTTGATAACTAAGTTAATTTTCAAAAAATTTTAATTAATAATTTAATTCGACTCGTTAATATTGATAAAAGAAATAAGTTCGAGTTTGTTTAGTAAATTAGCTCGAGTAGAGTCCTAGTCCAACTTGACTTATTTATCTATTATCGTAGTCGATGAACAAAGAGTATGATTGTAAACTCACAATAAATGCTAGGTTACTTTAATAGCATTATCTTGGATTTTCAAGGTTGGAATTTTTCTTGAAGAAATTCGAGTTTTGGTAAGATTAAGTTATGTTGTATGTTGTTTCTCTATGTAACATGTAAATAGCTAATAATATTATGAAAGAACCACAATATTGCTGAGAGAGGTAGATTGAGTATCATATATGGATTTTGGCAAATCATGATTATTTTTATGATTTTGTTAGAAATTGAAAAAATCGAATCTAACTAGGTCCAACTAATATAAATGTTCATCAATGATAAATAATAATCACTAAAACAATATTTTCCATCAAATTGTCAGAAAAACATTAGCTATAAAAATGCAATATGTGACCTAGATATTCTTTCGTAACTCCAAATTTTTGAATTCGTTATTGTACCTCAATAAATTCGGTTTGCTAGCTTATAAGGGGACACAATTGATCGAGGAGTTGACGAAATAGAGAAGTTCGTTGATCTTTTAACTCGACCATGTTTGACAACAACTTCTTGTTCAAAATCTATATATATATAAAAAGGAGCAACAAAACATTTAATTTTATTACCATGTATTAAATTTTATTCTCCCTCCAAAATTTTAAGTTACAAAATAACTTGCTTGAATGTCATAAATTATGAGCATAAACCAATCAATGGAGTTACAAAATTGTACTCAAATTTTAAGTCACACCCACTCATGAAAATGGTCGGGTGTATTAGCATAAATAAAATGGCTGTAACGGCTCTTCCATAGCAATTACTTGATCAAAATCAATTTTGAGAATTATTTTCTTAATTCATATTTTTTTCATGAATTAAATTATGATTTTTTTTATTTTTTTATATTTTTATGTTTTTAAAGTATTCGTCTATGTGCAAATGCACAGGTTGATTACTAGTAATATGTGAAAATTCTAGTCAAATCATTTATTGATCCTGCAAATCAAAAAATTGAATACTATACATTAATTTGCCCATTAATAACCTTTATTTTCTTAACCTCCTAACAATTTGATACTCCAAACTAGGTTGATGAGCTACTAATTAATAACTTGATTGATATAACTATTCTATAAATCATACCTTATTTTAATTTTTCATTTTGGAGCATTTTCTTTTAAAAGCTCCACGATATAATGAACGTTCATATAAAAATTGCTCATCTTGCACAATCTAAATGGATGGAAAATGTAACACAACATTATTTTATGATCGAACCGGATCTTAATAGATATGTAACATTTTTTGCCCGGTTCAAAATTTCAAATTTCAAAACCACAACGGAACAACGAAATTAACGGCCTCACCATGGCAACTCTCTCTTTTGCTCTCTCACTCTCTGTAATGAGTGATTTTACCAAATAAAAAGCATCCATTTCCCACTTTTTCACCTTTTTCCTTGAAACTGAACAGTATATTAAGTGTCATTTTTAATCCTTGTTGTTATTCGTTTTTGTCTGTTTCCATTTGAAACTTGAAAAGAATCCATTTTTTTTTTGTTCTCTTTTTTGATAAATGGGAGATTATGAGTGGCATGACCAGCTTCGTATAACCGATGTTCGTTCTATGGAGCCACAAGTTCGAAATCAAGCTCATTGTAAGTTGCCCAAAGCTCATTTCGACTAGGAAAAGAATTTCAAGATCATTTTTTTTTCGGTTGTGTGAATTGGGTTTTCGTTTTCTTGAATTCGCATTCATTCGAACAGGCGACTCGAAAGATGTGCGTAGGTTCGAAACTTCAGCTATGGAGAACACAGACGAATGCAGGTCGATCAAGATTGATGGTAAATTTTTTGAAAGACCTAATTTTGACATTGGAATTTATAGTTTCAGAATGGGATTACTTGTTTCGGTTCAGTTTTTGTTTCTGTTTTCTGATTTCGTTTGGGCTTTATTCGTATTAGCTAGTTTTTATGCCGAATTTTCTTTTTTTTTTTTCTTTTTTCTTTTTTTTTAGGTCGATCTGTGCTGGGATTTTCGTTGACATCGCCCGATATAGTATGCGTTGGTTCACCTGACATTCCTAGCCAGAGATATGAAGAATCACATGAATTATCGAACGGAAAAACAATCAACATCTCTTTAGAAAATGGAATTGAGGGGTCTGAAATCGGCAGCTCGTTTAAGGCCTCGCCTTCGAATACCCAAGATTTATGCCCCGAAGCTTCCTTTGAACTCATTGCACCTCATCCACCGGATCAAGAGAATTCAACTGGAATTCGAATCACCGAAATAGGCAATAATGTGGGGCCCACTATCTGTGTTGAGTCAAACGACGGCTTGTATATTTCCGAACAAAGTACTGTAGGAGCTGCAGAGCTCGTAACTGGAGAGGATTCAGACGAGCAGGGCCTTAGGCTTTGCCAAGCGGCTCTTTCGGGTCACTTTTCTTATTTGTTTCAATAATTCAGAATCTGCTTTTTTTGGAGATTTTGATTATTTTGTTTACCCTTGCGGTCTTTCTAAAAAGCGCTAAATTTCGTTTTATTATTTCTAATGGCAGGTTCTGGAGAGATCAAACTATCCGAAGAAGTTGGATTTACACACATGCCAATGAATGTACTGTTAAATATTTAAAAGATGGTTATTTTTTACTAAATTATAGTGCCATTGGGTCTAAAGGCGTTAAATCACTAAGTTCGTTTACATTCAATAGGACAAATGTGATGATATTGTTGAGGAAAATGCTGTTGAAAAGGAACTCTCCAACACAAAAAAGCTTTTGGAGGAGCTTAAAATAGAAAATGAGCTCAAAAGCAAAGAATGTCAAGAAGCGTGGACATCTTTGCGAGACCTTCAAAACGAGCTTATGCGTAAATCAATGCACGTTGGATCGTTAGGTGAGTTTACAATACAGAATAAGATTTTTTAATTAGAATGAACTATTTTCCACATTTGCGATTTTTGATTTTGTAGCTTTCGCGATCGAGGGACAAGTGAAAGAAAAGAGCAGATGGTTTTCTTCGCTACGAGATTTGACAAGAAAGTTGAAGGTACCAAAAGAATATTTTGTCCATTCATTGTCCTATGGATATATATATCACATTTAATTGAATGTGGATTGTTCTCGGATAGCTTTTGAAGATGGATCATATTAAACTCTCGGAAGATGCTTCATTGTTCAAGCAGTTTCTTGCTGACATGGAAGGCGTCAAATCCACTGTTCAGTCTACACGTAAACTCTTTTATACATACAACTGCACTTACCGATTTCTTATTATTTATTTGCACTTACTCAAGCCGAGTTCTCGTTGTAATTTTTGTGATTAAGTCTTTCATGTTCTTCATCTAATATATGAGTGTGTGTGTGTGTGTGCTGGCAGTGAATCAGCATGTTCAATCACACGAAGACATCAAAATTAAGTTCCTCCAAGAGGTCAAGGAGAGGAAAGAACTTTATAACAAAGTTTTGGAACTAAAAGGTAGTAAAGGCTGTAACTTGTTTTTCATGATTTCATACCAAATACATAATTAACAGCTGCCCCAAATCTAAAAGAGAAAAGAATATAATTTTTCATAGGAAACATAAGAGTATTTTGTCGCTGTCGGCCCTTGAACATCGAAGAAATTAACGGAGGAGTTCCAATGGCTGTTGACTTTGAATCTGCAAAAGATGGAGAACTAACTGTTAAGTCAAACGGCATTTCGAAAAAGACCTTCAAATTTGACGCTGTTTTCAGCCCGGAAGCTGACCAACGTAAGTAGCTATAAATAGTTATCCACTAAAAACATTGTTGAGATTATTACTTAACTAACTTATGTGCATTATTTTCTGTTTTTCACTTCCCTTTTTGGTGCAGTTGATGTTTTTGAGGAAACTTCTCCACTTGCAATGTCTGTATTGGACGGTTATAACGTATGTATATTTGCTTACGGCCAAACGGGCACTGGTAAGACTTTCACCATGGAAGGGACAGATGGCGCTCGTGGAGTAAACTACAGAACTCTCGAGAAGCTGTTTGACATAATCGAAGAACGGAAGAACACGTTCAAGTACGAAGTCTCGGTTAGTGTGTTGGAGGTTTATAACGAACAAATAAGAGATCTGTTAGTTTCGGATTCGCAGCAAGGTTCGAATGCTGCAAAGCGGTACGGATCAGTATAATAAATAAATAAACATTGGGAAAGATTCATATGATTTTTTATTATTTTTACTTCAAATTGCTAAAACCATCAAGCAAAAAAGTTGCAGGCTTGAGATAAAACAAGTAGGTCATGTCCCGGGACTTGTCGAGGCTCGTGTGAAAAATGTTGAAGAAGTTTGGCAAGCTCTTAGGACAGGGAGTAATGGAAGGGCAGTTGGTTCGACTAATGCAAACGAGCATAGTAGCCGTTCACATTGGTAACTTTTTTTCATCTTTTCTCGTTTAACGGTTGTAAAAAATGTAGTAACATGATGTCACACTTTTTTTCGTGATTTTCAGCATGCATTGTGTGATGGTGAAGGGGGAGAATTTACTGAATGGTGAAAGCACGAGGAGCAAGCTTTGGTTAGTTGATTTAGCCGGAAGTGAGAGAATAGCAAAGACCGAGGTGCAAGGAGAGAGGCTTAAAGAAACTCAGAATATAAATAGATCACTTTCGGCGCTTGGGGATGTGATATCAGCTCTTGCTACTCGGAGCCCTCACATCCCATTTAGGTATGCTTGTAAAACAAGTAACTATATATAAGCTATCATGAACCGTGCTTCGAACTTTTTTCTCATTTTTCCCTTTTTGGCGTAGGAATTCGAGACTGACCCATTTGCTTCAAGACTCTTTAGGTAATGCACTATTATTGCTGTATTTTTTATAGCAACTTTTTCGGTATGGATTTTCATTGGCAAATGAATGTCTTTCTTTAACTGCAGGAGGAGATTCAAAGACTTTGATGTTTGTTCAGATTAGTCCTAATGAGAACGATCTTAGTGAGACGCTTTGCTCGTTGAATTTTGCGAGTCGAGTTCGCGGGATAGAGTTAGGCCCGGCTAAGAAGCAAATGGACAAGACAGAGCTTTTCAAATCCAAGCAAATGGTAATTAGCGTACTTATCTAGATTTCGATTCCTTTTTATGACACATCGGCTCAAACTTGTGTGTATAATAAACTAATTCTTGATTTCAAAAATTTGAAGGTTGAAAAACTAAAACAAGATTTGAAGAGTAGAGATTTCCAAGTGAAAAAGTTGGAGGACACCACTTATGGTCTTGAGATGAAGTTGAAAGAGAAAGATGTCAAGACCAGAAGCTTGCAAGACAAGGTACTCCTAAAAGTTCATTCTGTTTTCGAAAAAAAAGTTCATGTTCCTTTCAAATTTGGAAATGCAAATATATATATTATATGCACCGAACTATAAAAAATCAAAAAACTGACTCTATAAAAAAATAACTCCACCGCACTGCAATTTAGTAAAAACCGGACCCATTTTTATACATTGAAATATCCGAAGTGAACCGCACCGAAATGCATGGTTCGGCTCAGTTTTTGGTTATTTCACGATTTTTCGAAATATTTTATTCAATTTGGTGCGGATTAGTGCAAAACCGGACCGAACCGGAACAAAACCGAAAACCGAACTTATAAAAAGCTATAACCGATCCGCACCACAACGTTGGAAAAAATTGAACCGAACCGCGTTAAATTGCACAGTTCGATTTGGTTTTCCGGTTTCAGCTCGGTTTTGCTCACCCCTACCCTTTGAAAGTGTACTATCTGCATTTCCATTTTACACATTATTCTCATCAAATTAGTAACCTTGAAAAAAAAAAAAAACCTTTTTTCAGATCAAAGAACTCGAATCACAACTCCTCATCGAGAGAAAGCTCGCACGACAGCACGTCGACTCGAGAATTGCGCAAGCAAGCGAATCCCAGCGGGCCCCACTAGCCGCCAAAACACAAATCACAAACTCCGAAAGCGACGAGTTCTCGTTCTTCCCTACAACAACAACAACAATCCACGAACCATCAAACGAGGACAAAGAAAACCTCCTCCCGAGGCCCACTGGCCGAGCATCTCTCTGCCCAACCACGAAAACGGCTTACAATCATCATCATCATTCCGCGCAAGCCGAACGAAGAAACTCACTCATTCCCCTGCCTAGCAGCAGCATGCTGAAACCAACAAAAGCAGCCTCTCCATTTTTTCTGCCTGTGACTCCAGTTTTTCAGGCGGACGAGATCGGGTGCTTGCCGGAGCAGGTGGCTTGTGGTGATAGTCCGAAAGACGGGAAGAATCGGAATAAAAGGCAGATGGGGAGCAGCGTGTTGAGGAAGAGCCTGCACAAGAAGATTTGCATGAAGAGTCCTATGCAGATGGGGGCTAAGCGAGTTGTCGGGCTGAATGTGGGCCCGGATAAGGTTCGGGTTTCGATCGGGACTCGTGGGAGGCTGCTCGGTGGGGCCCGCAGAGGGGTGGGTAGAGATAACAGTAGCAATGGGCAGGGGAAGGCAAGACAGAGGGAGAAAGAGAGGGGGNTTTGATGATGCTTGTCATCCATCTGTTATTGGTGTTGGTGTGGCAGTGTTGGATTTGTTTGGATTGGCTGTGTACATTAAGGAATTAAGGAAGTGGAATTTGATTTTGATTTAAATGAATTGTTGATTTCGATAATTTTATAATGAGAAAGGTAATTCGTTGTGTACATTAAGGTAATGGAATTTGATTTGAATGGTTGGGTTTCTTGATTTAGTAAATCAAACACTGCAAGAGAAAAGATTGATTTCCAAACTAGTTTATTGAATTATGTGTTGACATAAACGAATAATTAGGTCCAAATGGATTTAATTTTGTTTTTATAAATATATCTAAAACAACGAAAAATGCTATAGATACATAATATTGTACATAGAGTTGTACATAACAATCACATTAAGTGGGTTCTACAAAAAAAAAAAATTAAGTAGACCCCACTCCATATGAGTGTTATGTACACCACTATGTACATTTATTATACCTGTAGCATTTTTCTTTATATATTGCATGTCTTGCCATATGTTCATAACCAAATGTATTACGTATTGATGGAACATGTATTTGCCCTAAGGAACTGAAAATTAAATTTCAAATCAATCAATTAAAGTTGTTCTAACTATGGACATATGTGAAATTATATCTACTTTCTATTTGGGTGGGGTTTCTTGACATATATAACTTTTTTTTATATTTCTTGATATGTTTTGCAATTCATGCAAATTTGTTTCACAGAGTTCTATTGGGAAATTGAATCGTTTGAGAGGGGGTGAGATAATGATAATAATAATCACACAATTAAGCAGACATGTGGAAGCAACATGGATCCTCACAAGTTAACTCTCCACTAGCTGGNATCAATGCCCAAGACACTATAAACGATCTATCTTGAGGATATATGAAATATATAACTCAAATTCTCACTAGAGTGCTAGAGATGGCAAGTTAAACATCTGTACGCTGAAAACCTGTTCTTAATTTATAATCTTACAAAACTAACCAGAACACATAATCATAATAAAATTATAATTCTATGAAATCTCAGATACAGTACAACAGAGTACATCCAAAACTCCTCTTTAAGACAAGAGAAAAAAAAACCTCCTCTTTAAGACCGCATTTATTTTCTTCTTTTTTTGTTTTCGAAACCCAGAAACTGTAATGGGTCCATAAAAACTGAGGAATGTTTGTGCTACCAGCAAAAAGAATAGTGTACAGATTCAAAATGACCCTCTCTTCAACACATCTCTTTCAAACGACCATGCCTTCTCAAAACTCAATTCATAAATCTCGATGTGCATCTGCCGACTATTTACAAGCACAATAAGACAATGGGGCTCGTTACCTAATTGACAAAACCCAGTACCGCTTAGCAATATTGCACTCGCCTGTACACATTAGAATACGAAAGGAAACATTTTAGTCGACATGCTAAGTATGGTATAATTTGGAGGAACTACCCTCGAAAAATTGGTCTAAAATGTAAAATCACATTTTAACAGAAATTTCTTTCACATAACAATCGCCCCCCATGAGTTCGGTAATTTCTCAAACAAATACAAACCCGGTTGAACAGACAATTTCTGAGACATAAATAAATATCAGGATAGAGGTATGTATGTGATTAGACAAAATCTCTGGGGTATTCTGTAATCAAACAAGGAAAATACTCAGAATATATGCTTCATGATTCCAGGTGTCATAACTTAAAAGTGTGAGAAGCATACCGTGGTTAGATTTTGTCAAGAGTTCCAGATGACCGATTTTCTTGGCTAAACAATTTGATCCGTTTGATTAGGGTTGCTTTAAGTGTTTCAGGAACCTTAGGAATAAAATTCCTCTTCGCCTGTGAAATAAGCAAATTCCTACACAACATGTGGATATGCATCAAGATGAGTTGTCCAACAAAACAAGTACACTATAAGACTAGAGCCAATAATAATAATAATAATACAGAAAAAGAGGAATCCATAATTAACAGCACCTAAGTCACCATAAATGCCAATATCATTTAGCTGGTAGCTTGTCACAACCACAGACTCATTTAACTTGGTGAAATAACCTTTTCATATTTCGGATACACTCCCGAAAAAAACAGAAAAAGAACTGGAAACACAACACCACGTACTTCAACATGGACTTCTGGGGATCAAGCAAATAAAAATAAAAATTCTATATCCTCATAAATAGTGCCAGGAGGCATTTCAAATTTTCACACCAAGCCTGTATCGATAAAATGCAATGGTAATGATGTTGCAAGCACACCGAAGTTAATTTATTAACAAATAATTTCATTTCAGTTACTTTAACATGCAATTTTGGATCACTCGAACTTTTGTAAATGAATGCAACATCTCAATAGAAAGAAGTTCCCAGAAAATAATAAATATAACTTACTTCATCTCACTGTCATCCAAGGCAGCATTGCCTGCTTCTTGACACATTTTTTTCCTAGCATGCATAAACTTTTGCACTTCATCAGACCATCCACATGAGCGTAGAAATACAGAAGCTTCTTTTCCAATCCTGCGGCACGTTGAAAAAAAAAACTTTAAATACTGAGTATTTTGTAAGATAACCAGTAACATTTATCAAAAACAGAGGTAAGAAAAAATACTTTCTTGAAATACAGACACCACGTAGACTACTCAAATGAACATTGTAAGTTTCTGTGTAAGAAAACGCGAAACTAGATCAAGGTAAAGAACAGTTGAGACAGTTAAATACTTTGACGGAAATTAAGAATTGGGTAATTTTATGTTTCCATTATGCATCTAAAGACAATGATCAACTGTCTTAATATGTGAAATTAGATCAAGGTACAAAACAGTTGAGACAATTAACTACTTTACCAAAAATTATGAATTGGGTTTATTTTATGTTCCGTTAATCATCTAATGCGAACGATCAACTGTCTAATTAAGGATTAGGGACTAACTCTCTGGTCAAGGACATCTTGAGAGGGCTACAACAGCCACAGCCCCAATGGCCATAGCCCAATTTCTTAGCAATATAAATATTAAAATCTAATATCCATGAATAGAATATCAACAATAGAACAGTGGAAAAAGGTCCCTGAAAGAAGTAACTTCATCTAGCTCATGTATGTTAAGACTACATCTGTACCTATGAACAGAAGGACTAAATGCAATTTATATACTTCTAACCAAGTAAACAAGCATTTAATTTTTACGCTTTGATAGGTTATCTTAACTATATAAGATAAAGTATGAGAGGCAGTTCAAGAGGCATAAGAACAAAAGTTTTGCATTTTAAAACTCAAAGCAAAAGACTTTTATCTTATAATTATAAGACACAGAGAGACGAGCAGTTTAAAGGGCATAAGAACAAAAGTTTTGCATTTCAAACTGGTAGAATGTAGACAGCACACAGGAGCATAACAAAAATAACTATGAAGCATAAGTAAAAAAACTTAAAGCAAATCAACATACACTTCCTTGAATGCTTCCACTTTTCCGCGAGATTCATCATCTCTTGCAAGAAAAATGCATGAAAGACCATTTCCCATCTTCCTCTTCATGCTTGAGTTGTCAGAGCCCACAATTTCTTCATTTTGTATGCCATTGAGATTTTTACATGGTGCAGTTATAATTCTAGGGCCATTGCCTTCAGATATTCTCCTTTCGGAGTCTACTGCAGTATGCCCAGCTTCCCCATTACTGATACACAAGGAGGGCCCTTTCTTCGTAATTTCAATATCTGCTAATGTCTGACACATGCCATTCCTCTCAATCATAGGCAAGCCAGTTTTCTCCATTTGGCCAGAAGTAATTAAAGCTTCTGTGCAGCTATTTTCCTTGCTGGATTCTTTTTCACGAACAATAAACTGGCTGTTACCAGCAGCTAAGAGCTTTTTTCCGATCAGAGAATCACTGAGCCTACCATCTACCAAAGGAAGCCTCTGATCAACCTCAAATTTCATTGTGTTATTTGTCTGACCATGATGGTTAGATGTTTCTTTATTATTAACTGGTTTAACATGAGAACCCGGCCTGAGTTGCTCAATTGTATTACTGCTTTTGGATACAACAGATGAAATGGAATTCTGTCCCTCCAAAAAATTATTGACACGCTTGTTCACACTTGCCGGTGTTTCCACAAGTTCAGACCTTCTATGTGTGGTCGTTTTAGTGCCATTGGTTGCAAGGGAATCAGTATGACCATTGCTCTCAGAATTGGATGTCAGTAATTTCGTTTTAACTGGTTTTTCTGGATGACTTGACTCACGGGTAGAAGAATCAGTGCCATTGGTTGAACTACAAGTCTCTTGCTGTTGACTAGAAACTAATTTAGTACAAGTTGAATTATCTGGACAACCTGACTTCTGCTTTATGTATGCTGCACTGCCATTTGACTTGTGAGTCTTGTTTCCACTGACAATATCAACCCTCGCATGAGACCTTTGTTTTGTACGGGAGAAAAACAGCATATAGACTTTCTCCGACAAAACCTCCTGCAAGGTTGACACTGAAACATAAGAATCATTGCAGCAGAACCAGCGGCCTGTCGCATCCTGAACAGATAAAATCAAAGTCAGAAATTGCACAGAGTGGTGGCAAACCATACAAAAAAATATCACTTTGACATCATGAATCAGCAATAAAGGACCTTGATATACGCATAGTAGTGTCCAGAATCAGGAGAGAAACCTGAATGTACAATTGTACCAAAAAGACCATACTCAGGATACTGGTCCTGCAAGAAGAGATTATTTATGCATAAGAAAAATGCCAATCAACATAGCAGAATTTAGAAAATTAGGACGCTTGCATTCAAGTTTCAACCAAACTTTCTGGAAACATATATGGCGTGGAGCAACAAAAACGAACAAAGTTGATTATAAGAAACTGATAAATAGGTCTAGGTAGAACTCATCCCCAAAAGCTAGCTCAAAGGAAGAGGGTGTCCAACCCACAGTTATACAAAATAACAGCCCAGTAATTAACCGATGTGGGACAAACATTACTTCTAATACCCGCCTTCACGTGCAGCATGCCAAACCAAATGGGCCGGGTCTAAACCCAACATCGCGTGCAAACAGACAGAACCTGAATGCTCTGATACCATGATAAATGGGCCTGTGTAGACCTCATCTCCAAATGCTAGCTCAAAGAAAAAGGATGCCCAACCCACACTTATACACAACAACAGCCCAATGACTAGTCGATGTGGGACAAACATAACTTCTAACAGAAACATATTCAGAATTCAAACAAGGAGAGGAGTTATGGAAGGAAACACGATGATAGTAGAGCTACTTACTAACAGCTCAAATATCATGGTCCAACATGCAGAGAGTAAAGGATAGGAAGAAGCTATGAATGACAAGGCAAGACAGCTACACACTATCCTCCTTCCCCGCTTCCCCAGCTTACAGCTAAGCAAAAGGCGTACCATGATTAAGCCTGATTTGTTCTACCATGAAGGCTAAATTAATGACTTGATGAACATTCCTAAGCTTAAATCAAGAAGGGTCCACTTCATGGGAAGTACGACAACCACAAACTCTAAAATAGATTCATGCAGTGAGGTTGGCTAAACCTTTAATAGCGAAAAACTGATAGCGCCTCCACATAAACATGGGATCTGAGCATCCAATGTTCATTACGCACAAAAGAAAATAGCAACAGAGAGAGGAAGAAACGAATAGAGGTACATATTTGCATGTATACTACATTAATTTCCATACAGATTCAGAGAAGCTGAAGAAGATAACTATACAAATTTGTCTAACTTCAGCAATATTTTCATCACGCACCTTGCTTCCTTTGCACATGTGACTGGAAAGCACCAATGCCTCGTCAAATGCAATGGGCTTATCAACCTTCCCACCAAACAAACCCTCGAACCTCTACACAGCATAAAAAAACACATAACAAAGAATGCAACACTCTAGACAAATATTACATTTAAAAGATAATCAACAGAAAGAAATAAGTTTCGGTAATTATCACACCTTTAATTGTATTACAAGAACATTGGGAGCCTGAAGAATTGTCATTTGCTTCCTTGCTGCCACCAATCTCTCACAACTAAACAAGCATAACTTCCACTTCACACCAAGGTATAAACAAACATATCTGGAAGAGACTTGCAAACAAACAATGGAGAAATAATAGGAAATAGAGATTTCGTTACTTACCTGTCGCACTTGTATTTGTTATTTCCATCCAAGACCTCAGGCTGGAAAAACTTCTGTAAAGCCTCTTTCAGTGACCCACTATGCAAAATATCAAGACTAATATCCATAATGTCATCGATCTTATTTGACTCGGCCCCACATGACAAACATTTTACTTGACTCTGCAGCTCCCCTCCAAAAATCTCCTTGACCACCGTTTCCGTAGACCCACTAATATCTCCTCCATTGGCAGCTCCAGTCTTCCCCCTTTGCTGCTGCTGCTGCAGCTTCTTTAGTCTCAAGCATGTATTATGGCAAGCATCAATTACATAACGCAAAAACTCATGAGCATCCTCTTGCCTCCCAGCGCGAAAATGCTCGGCATATATCCTTAGACACCTGTTTATTTTCAACGGGGCATCCACAACTGCCTCACTATTCAAAGAGAGAGCAATCCGTCTTTCCAATATGCAGAAAGCGCACTCCCTCTTCTCCTTCTTAGAGTCGCCTAAGAGAAAGCCATATTGTTAACTAGTTTCAAGTTCATGCATCTGTAATCCACCCCTAAAGCACGAAACTGTAAAAAGAGAAACCAGAAAAGTCCTAAACGACATCTATGTCCTTTAGAGATTCTTTAAAGCAAGCCATGGTGAGATTCATCTAGCAATGTCATGTAACCTTCAAACTGGAGAATACTTATTGCCTTTACGGTCTCCGATCCCATCGTGAATCACGCATCTCTACTTACAAGTCACGCACCCAAGATTCATGCAACCATTTGATTTAAAAGCATTACCAATTTTATGGCTTTATCGTGATAAGTCACTATAAGATACAACTTTACAAACATGTTGTGCTATTTTCTCTACTATCAAATAATCATTAATATCGGTAGCCATCAGAAAGTTCGGCAATACAGAAACTATTCCACACTTTATGGAAATAACAAAAGAAAAAAACCCACTCTTTTTCAAATCCAAAAGAAGCTGCCAAAATATATGCTGCCCAGGGGAGAGGGAAGCAAAATGGAATCTTGCAAAAACTATAAAGCTTCCAACACTATGCTCAAAGAACATCACCGGTTCTGGTTGGGCATCATTCTCTCACCCTCAATTCCAAAATTCAAACTCAGAAACACAGAACTAGAACAATGGCATGTCTCATTGGAAAATTAAGCTCAACAAAATGTTCCTGTCCACCCCTTATATATATAATAAGCTTGAAACAGCCATGAGAGCTCTTAATAAACTAATACTAGCTGATATACACTATGTAATTACTATAGTGACACATTATTCACACACGCACACAGACACACAACACTCAAGTACCAGAAAACTACTAACGGGACAAACAAATATGAAATTCAAGTATGATCATATGTGACTATGTTTAATTACAAAACACAGCCCAATAAATATGCGGAATAAATAAAAAAAGGGGGATAAACAGGCAAAGCTTACAAACAGAGGAATGGAAAAAGCGGAGGCAGAAATTAGCGAGCGGAGGAGTGTAAGTGAGGCATTGAAGGACGGAGTTGAGGTAGCAGGTGTTGCCAAGATTCCGAAGCCCTAGGGGCGGCGAGCCGTACTTCCGCTTCAACGACCGGAGAAGGGTCGGCTGCCACGTCATCTGCAGCATGGCCATCAACGGCTGCTCGACGCCACACCATCGGCCGGCCTCCACCGCCGAGATCGCATCGCCTGCTCGATGCTTCTTTCTCTCTCTTCGCCGATTGTATGTCCTCTGCGTTTTTCTTTTTTCCTTTTTTTTAGAGATGTTTTTGGGGGTAAGCGAATGAGGGGGTTTCTGGGGTTAGGAGCATAGTTTTTAAACCGGCCCGGGGATCGACCCGGGCAGGTCTCCGGGTCACCGGGTCACCGGTTCAACCGTCGGGTCATCGGGTCAATTGTTGAACCGAATAATTAATTTTAAATTTTTTTAAATTATATATAAAGTATTTTGTCTTATAAATATACATAAAAATAACAAAATTAAATATTTTGTATATAAAATTTGCACATTAAAGTGCTAATAATATGTATTTCATGATAAATATTTATCATATATATATATGTAAATAGTTTTATTTTTTAAAAACAAAAAATATATGAAAAAATAAAAAAAATATATAGGACCGGGTCAACCGGGTTGACCCAGCCGGGTCAATGTCCTAGGTCGATCGGGTCAATGCCGGGTTGACCGGGTTTGACCGGGTCCGTTGTTTCCCGGTCCGAATAGCACACCCGGACCGGTTCCAGCTCCAGGTCGACCGGGTCCCGGGTCGACCCGCCGGGCCGGTCCGGGTTGAAAAACACTGGTTAGGAGGTTTTCTTATACCATTTTCTTTTTTCTTTTGGCCTTATTTTCTATATTATTGTTATCACTATATATAATTTCAGATCGCGCCGAGCGTAAGTGGCAGCTTACACACTTCATAATTTTACATGAAAAAATATTATGCTTTGTAATATGGCTTGGATAAAAATTACTAATTTTTTATACCAAATAAATAACTTAAATTCGTATTACCATATATACACACATATTCGATATATTTAAACCATTTCATATAATCTATTTATTATCTTTTTTCTATAATGTGCATATAATCGTATTTTCCAAATTGTGTGCTTTGTTCATATTATTCTCTTATGTGTTATAATAAAAATATTATAAATAAAATTAATGAGGTATATAAATTAGTTTTCAGAATTTAAAATAATATTGTTAATTCACTTAGATTCCGTTTGTTAAGGGAGATTAGATAGGATAAGTCAAGATATCTACCCTTAATCTTGTATTTGTTACCCACGATTCTGGCCCGCATGACATGACACGGCCCGCGATGCACAGTGCTTTTATCGTGCATATTCCCGATAAATGTGTCTGGGATGAGGGGGTGCGATTATAACACGTCTGAACAGTGTTTCATGTAGAAATGACTCTATTGCCCTCAATTACCACTATGTAGTTCATTTCTGCAAGTGCAAGCTTGCAACCATCGCCTTACTCGAAAATTTCCGACAGATCTCGCACCTCCATCTCCGCCGCCACGTTCTCCAACCTCCCAGTGCCGGTGCCACCCTTCACCCCTAGATACGTGACCTCTAACTCCTCCTCAGAAAGATTGGAGAATTGCGTGATGCGTGGACGACGGTGGGGTCCATCGCCTGGTGCTCCGCCGCCCTGATAAGGTTCCCGGCGAAGATCCCCGGGCAGTGCAAGTACTTCGAGCCAGATGTGGACCAAAAATTTTGGGTGAAGATTTTTATCACCTCTGCAAGGTTTTAATGGGTACAAATTGGGAGAGGAAAAAAAAAATTGGCAAACAAAGTTTGAAATTGAATGCAACGAAAAAAAAAAAGAGATTGGAAGGCCATGTTGCAGAGAAAGCGGTGCAGATGTTTGTAGAAGGAAATAATGGAAGGCAACGATAAAAATCTTTTTATCAAAAAGGAGGGCTAAAAAAATGAAAAAATAAAGGAAGAGGAAAAATAATAATTGAAAGTTATAAGGGCAAAATTGACAATACACAATTATATCTAATTAGTTATCTAGAGAAACAAACATTGTGGTGAGTACAACACTATCTTATCCGAATTAACAATCACTCGTAACAAATGTGAGTTTACTTTTATCTACACAGTACAATCTACCCTTCCCATATTAATTTAATTTAATCTCATCATGCGAAACAAATGAGCTCTTATTTATTATAAATTGTTATAGATTGCTCTTTATTTATTTTTTTCCAACTTCAACAAAATAAATTATTTTTTATTTTTTATTGTACATTTATTTATTTTATCAACCACCCGTATAGTACGCGAGTATTGTAATAGTTATTATTATGTACAGTTGAGCAAAATAAGAGAAAAAGTGAGTTCAACCGTGCAATTTGGTCGTTAGGATTAGTATGGAACAATTTCTATTCTATATTTTTTAACAATGCCATTCAATTATTATTTTTCATACATTAAATGTTTGGTTTTTTTCCTTTTAATACGATTTTTGCAATATATCGTAGCAAACTAAATACAAATGCATGAAAATATCGAAACAAAACCAATAACCAAGTTGAATGCGACATTTTGGTGCGACTCAATTATGTTATTTAAGGCTATGTTGGTAAAATTAGCTGATAAGCTAACTTATAGCTTATCAGTAATTTTTGAGCTTATAGCTTATGACTTATAGCTGAAAAGTTAGTTTATATGATAAAAGTGTTTGATAAAATTAGCTGATAAACTAGCTCGAATAAAAAAATTCAACTAGCTTATTTGAAAAGCTCGAACATTTTAAAAAAGTTCGTCCTAGCAAACGAGACTTATTTGAATACAAGGAGCTTATAAGCTAACCAAATAAGTTATAAGCTAACTTATTTGTCTACCAAACACAGCCTCAATTTTTTTTTTTAATTTTAATTTCGATTCAATTTTTTCATATGTTGGTGCGTGGTTTAGTTATTTTTTCATAAGTTGGATTATTGGATCATTTTTGTGGTTCGGTGTTTAACCACTCCGTCGCTCACCCTTGTGATTTTCACTAGTTGTGATATCTTGATTGTTTCTCTTTCTCACAACATAAAATCTTGGAGCTACAAGTAAAAGAAAATACAAAACAAAAAGGCATATTAA